AAACACTATTGATCCCCAAAATCCTTTGTAATACCAATGTTCACTTTGTCTGGTTTTGTTGCAGTATGCCCCATATAATACAGCATTGTTGATTTTTGTTTTACCAACCTCATCAAAAAAGCCTTTTCCTGGATTACTTGAATCATTTAAACTTTTTAATACTACTAGTTACCCATTACCTTCAAATAGCTAAATTCTTTTTTATTTTCGTCATAATCAAATATTTGTCCTCTTATCCATGTAGCAGTATAAATTGAACTAAATCCACCTTCTGTCAACTTTATTATATGGGGCATACTGCAACAAAACCAGACAAAGTGAACATTTGTATTACCAAGAATTTCAGGGATCAAAACTATTACTATTACTTACATTACGAATCATTAAATAGAAGAGTTTAGATAAAAAATAACCTGTCATTTATTTTGCATTTTATAATAATGTATATATTTACTAATGCTAATAAATGCAACATAATATTTTAATAAAGGTTTTTTGTTTATATATATATATATAACATGTCATTAGGTTAAGGATTTGAAGAAAGTGGATTCTATTGAAAAGAGTATATAGAGAAGAATAGTGTTTTTATATAGATATATATGTGTAGAAGAATAGAAAATATTTACGAAGAAAAGAAAAAGGAAAAAATAGAAAACAAACAATTATGGAAGATGAGGTGGCATTGAAGGTGGCACTTTGACATCAATGGTTTTTATGTCCTTCAGCATTGTGAACTTCATCAAATCTTGATAGTACTTTAACACTTTCAACTATTATAATTTAAAAAATCAAAATTTTAAAAATAATCCTGAAAATCAAAAACATCTTTACTGTACATGAATAGAAATCAAAAGAACTTACTTTGAACTTTTTTATTGATATTACAACATTTATCATTTGTTTAAAGTCTATTCCTGAGTCTGGAATAACAAAAGAATCAAATTCTTTAACAATAAACAAATTTTCATCAAGAATCATACTTAGAAAGTAAAACTTACGACCTGTTAAAATGATTGAATTAGTCAGTAGTTCTTTGATCAAGACAATTAGAAAATTTTGAATAAACACTTGCCATAAACTAGTATTCCAAATGATTTCAACATAAGTTTTGATTCATTATAATCATAATGAACATTTTTGTACCATATTGCTAGCATCATGACTACAATGTAGATATTATGATCATCAAATACCATGTTTGAATCATATTAATGAATAAGATATTACAGAAGATGTACATACCCTTTAACAATTTTTCTAAATCATCATTTTTAAATGAAGTATTCTTAATGAGTGCATTTCCAACCACCTCTACAAAACCCACCTCCCTTTTTATTCCATGCAATTTCATGAACAATATGCCATCATGCTTATTACCAATTTTTTCTCTTTCGTTTTCTTTTTTATGAATGTTTTCTTGTTCTTTCCTCTCCCAATTCTCAATTTCCCCTCTATTTCCATATTAATGAAGAGTCAAGATCTACACAATCAGTATAATAATTAGAGTTTTCAATAATAACACTTACATTTCAAGCCATATATATTCTTCAACATCATGAAAAATTGGAGCTAAAAGCAAATTAACAATTTCATCTCGATATCTATACTCACTTGCTTCATTATCTATTAAAGTTGAACGTTTTCTCTGCAACTCTTTACCCCTAATAACCAAAAAAGAAACTTTAATTTTATGAAACAATTATTCAACAATACAGAGGAACTATCACATACATATTTTTCAATACATCTTGACACCACAATAACTCATTGTATTCGTTTTTATATTCTCCATCAAATGGAGGTTCCAAAAATTTTGTAATCATTTTATTTATATTCACACTGAAATTTTCTATATTTGTATTATCATTTATAATAATTCGATATCTCTCTATAAGATTGCTTAGAGAACTAGAATAGTATTTCTCATTGATGTAATTTTTCTCAATGTTGTTATGTGCCTTATTTCATTAAAACAAGCAAATATCAAGCTATTAATTCAATGTTATAATGGTGAACACTCAAAATATAAAATAAAAATTACCTTTTGCCACTTTTCAACAAAAATTTTAATTTGGTTATCTCCAAATATTTCTATCATTTTCTTCGTATAGGGAAATGTATTATCAAATAGGCATATGATGTTGTAGAATGCTAAATGATTTCCTTTTTTCAAATATTGTGGTATCTAGCAAAATTTTATCAAATTATTTCAATATTGATATGAGTACATGTTAACAGCATTATAGAAACTAGGATTTACCTCAGAAGATCTAGTTTCTGATTTATTAGTGGTGGTGATGACATTATTATTTTCGGATTCTTCGAGTATCTTTTTATTTTTACTATAAATAACACTGCCAACATTAACATTACTATATATATAGAATGGCAATAACCACAATCATCATTCATTTTTAAAAATAACTAGAGTGACAGCAAGTGGTGGGCAATAACCACCACCACCATCCTTAAAACACTTACTTGTGATCATCACCAAGAGCCTTGTTTTTTCTTCACTTCTTGTTGCTAGAATTATACATTATAAAAAAAAAAGTTTGTTTTGATCGACATGTACACATTAATTATTTATGTGATTGGTTTTTCTTTTGGTAGGACAGACGCGAATTGATTTTTTTTTTTTTTTTTTTTTGGAAAAACAATTTATTTTTTGACAGAGTCCAAGGTGACAAAACG